ATCTGCAGTTGACTCTCAGCCATGTATGCTGATTGAGATGCATTTGAGGGAGACTTATCACAGATGTTACGTAAATTTGTTCAAAGAAAAAGGAGAAATTGTGTAAGAAGTATGGGATTACAGCAGAATCAGGATGGGGTTATGGTTCTGAGCAACAGTGTAAAGAAAAGGGACACTGAAGGGTGTGTTCAGGTGTTTAGACAGTGGCACTGTTTTTTAAGAACAGAGCAACAACAGCACATGGCGCAAACTCAACACACTATCGGTGACCAGTAAGCAAAAGTTGAGTTACTTGAAACAGAAATGAGCTGCTGAACCACGTTGATACAAAGGAAAAGCGAGTGAACCCCTCTCATGAGAAAGGCAGTTCTGTTTAAGCTGGTTTTGATCTGACCTTCACAGAAACAGCTGCAGGAGTATTCAAAGGAGAAAGGTCAAAGCATGAGCCTCTCAGCCTGGCAGAAGAGTTCAAACCTGGCATTCAGAATGATCCAGAAAGTCAGTGCACTCAGCGCATTGCTGAAACAGTTTTACTGTATGGGGGCTATTCTGACTGTGCAGCTACTGATGATGTAATAAGCAGTAAAGTCGATGTCACTCAGAGAGCTGTTGGTGAAACGTCACAAGCTGAGGTGTCACAGCTGCACAAAACAGCTGTGTTACAGTATGTTTCCCATGAAACAGTGAGTCAGCAAAACCGGGGAACACATGATAATGCATCCTATTACTGCAGTAAAATGGGTCCTTGAACATGCAAATGCAAGAAGTTTGAGCCAAAGAGTAAAGCGAGTGGCTCATGTAGGTGTAATCACTGCCAGAGAAGTGGCAATTGGCTCTGCTCTCACAGTTTCTAAAGTTTTGTAATTGCCTTTAAATATAATACATAATGCATCCTATTACTGCAGTGAATGGTTACTGTTCATCATTAATGATGACTGCAATGTCTGATTCTCAAGATGGGGTTGTTCAATAATGTTGGTCAAATGTTGCAAATCTGTCAAGCAAATCAGCTGTTTCCCTTAGCTGTTCATGCCTGTGGTAGAACCATTATGAACAAATATCCTTAACTGATGAGCTTATGTTCAGACATAACTAAAGTCTGTTACAGATGTGTGCTTTTGTTTCAACATGGGTTCAGGATAGCATGAGCAAACTGCCAACCGTCTTTACAGTGAAGGTTTAGAATGAGCTAATCACAAAACTGTCGAGTTTATGTTAATGAGTGAAGTTCTGATTTATTTCAATCAAAGTTTGATATTAGCTCATCTTTTAGATTTGACAATAGTACTAGCCTCACCATAGCTGATCTGGTCCAGATCTGTAAAACAGATAAAGATTGGTAAGGACCACTGTTGGTTTGATGTTAGAACAAACAAGAGAAATAATGTTTAAAAATAGCAGGGGAACATTTGCTTTTAAATGTAGTAAAGAATGATGTGCAGATTACCAACATCTCACCTAATATCTATTTTTCAATTGGAGTTTGGAAGTTATGTAATAATACATATGAGCTAAGATGAATCATGTAGACTAACTGGAGTAGTCGGTACTTAAGCTTTGAGACCTTTTAAACATTTTTTTTGTTTATTTTTTATGGTTATGTGTAATTTGTTTTGTATATTTCAAGGTTCAGGGTGTCTAAACAGTTTTGGGTACAGACACCTGTTGCTGAAAAAGGTCACTAGCTTTATCTTGTTCACATAATGTTGTGCTGTGTTTTAAATATATAATATTTTATTTTAGTTTTTTCAGCAACAGAAAAGGTTTAGAATAATCCCCTGAATACCCGGGTTCATCTTTAGCATAATCTAGCATAGTTTAAGTCTACACTTAAAAAGTAATGCATTGAATGTACTTAAATGAAAAGTTTTGTCATCATTATTATTATTATATATGTTGTTTCAGTGTATCATATTTTTAGTGTAGCTATCTTGTGTAAAAACTGCATATTGAGTGTTTTGTAGAAGTGCAGACTTTAACCGGTTGTGCCAATAAATTTTTAAATATATTGATGTGTCTTTCAGCAGTTTTAAATTAACAGTTCAGTTTACAAGTGTTTTGCTGTTGCCATGTACAACAAACACTTTTGAGTTTGTTAGTCTAACTAAAAATGTTTTAATAACTAATTTCAAAGCATTTTTTAGTTGGCAAGTCTAACATCAAATTTGGAGTTACCATTACTTGATATATCAAGTTCTGCTAACTTAAAATACTATGTTATGATTAGCGATCTGAAAGTTGAGGTGACTGAGCAATTTAAATTTAGCTCACCTTTTAAGATCTGTTATGCCAAATTAAATTTCTAAAAAGAAAAAAGGTGCTGAAATCAGTTACTTGATTATTTTAATTTGGAGTCACCTAAGTGTAAAGATTCAGAGAATCTGCACAGTTTCCTGGAAAGTATTAAATACCTGGAATAATTCACTATATAAATAACTTCATGAGTGGATATGTCAAAAGAAAATTATATCCTTTCATTCATGTGCATGTTTCACGTTTATATTGAAACATCGTTTGGGGCAGAGGGTTTATTCATTGTGGCAACACAAGATGCAGTATAGCAAATATTCACCCACTAGAGGGCGCCTGTGACCCATTTTGTTTGTTCTCAGAATGCAATTTAGACAGCCAGTCTGACACCAGTCTAGATTGTGCCCATTGACTCATGGCTGCCAGCACTTAGTTATTGAGTACTTAGGCAATGATATTTGGTATGGAATGGGATTCATTTTTGGATACTCCACTGGAAGTGAAGTAATTTGGTCTGTACCATAAGGGCATTGAATTTCCATACTCAGTCTTTCATGCAACAAGTCACAGACGAGAGGAGTGATGTACAGAAAATAGCTTAACATCATATTGAGATAATATAGAGCACTACAAATGGATACCAATTGTATTATTTTAATATTATCTTTAAATATTCATATTAAATAGTTCAAGTAAAGCAGATGTTCAAATGTGTAAATGCAGATTTTTTCAGTTTAAATATTCATTTACTTTAATGAAATATATAAAGTATGACTACATCTGATGTCTTTGCAGAAGAAATAGGCAAGGTGAGAAAGTGAATTTTTTTATAGTAATATATAACTTTTTTTATTTTAGTTTTCCTTTTTGGTTAAAAAGGGTTGGCAAATTAAGGGTTGAATTTTACAAAGGTTAATGAGTTAAGGGTTAGGGTTCAGGGTTTGGGATTAGGGTTAGATGTGGTGGTCAAATAAAGTGGTAGTATGCACAGGTGGAGAAAGACTGTTAAGACTAGAGAGGGTCAGTGTTGGTTGCCATTGGGTATAGGAATATTTGCAAGTTCCACATTTATTAATTCCACACTCATTTGCATACTAGCATCTGAATGGCTCCAGAGTTGCAAGATTTAAGATGGAATATCTTTTGAACCGTACCTGCGATCCAGGTGCGTGATGGCTCGTTTTGGTCGGCCTATCTGTACGCTCCTAACATCCAAATATGGGGGCTCTAGGCCCAAATCTCAAGGAAATATGACCTTTGTCCCTATCCATAATAGTGGTTTATTACAGACGGGACGTTTTGGTAAACTGTGAAACAAAGTGGGTTGAAATGCAAAGCTGACCAATCAGACTCATCTGCCACAGCTTGCACCAATAAGGGTCAGAGTGAGAGTTTGCTTGAAATCTGGCTAATGTGCATCATATGCGGTGCATATATAGCAAACATTCATCCACTATAGGGACAGCTTGGCAATAGCCGTCCATTTACAGATGGACTTGGGCACAGGCCATGGGGGTTGGATTTGTGGGGACAGAGGTTGCGGTTAGGGGTTAGATTTGAGGGATAGGATTTGGGCAGCTGTAATCAGCTGTAAACTGGGGGGCAGTTGTGGGCTGGAGGTTAGGGAACCAGCCTGAACCAGACTTAAGTGCCCTTGAGCAAGGCACCTGGGCTGCCCACTGCTCCAGGCAAGTGTGCTCACTGCCCCTAGTGTGTGTGTTCACTAGTGTGTATGTGAGTGTTTCACTGCACAGATGGGTTAAACGTGGAGATGAATTCCCTCGTAAAAAAAAAAAATAATGATAAAAAAAACAAGGGCTGGATTCAAGGGTTTGGCATCAGGATTTGGGTTAGGTTTGGGCTGGGTTTTGGCCAGCTGTAATCAATGGAAATTGATGCTTATGTTAATGATGAAAGAGTGAGAACGGTTAAACCTGTAAAGAAGCATCACTAAAGCTTATTTCAAAGGTTGGAGACTGCAAAGCATTCAATATTTATGTTCCAGGAGATTTTGGGTAGCTAAGGTGTTTGTAAAAATTTTCATGATTTCTCAGAGTAGGACAGGCAGGGCAAGGCAAACTAAGGGTTACATTTTGTGAAGGGTTCAGTGCTTAGAGGTTAGATTTAAGGGTTTGGGGTTAAGCTTAGGTTAGGGTTAGGGTCAGGTTAGAGTTAAGGTTAGAATTATGACAAGGGTTAAATTTAGGACCAGAGTTGGGGCTGGAAATGAGTTTTGGGTTGAGGTTGAGATTACATTTAGGGACAGGATTAGGTTTTGGGTTGAGACTGAGATTTATAAATTAGCCCCATAGAGACACTGCCTGTAGCTGGACTACAGTATTGGCCATTTAAGGATTTCCTGCACTCTAGTAGGACTCAACAGAGGCTTACATTTTTAAAAATCTTAATTTTTAATCAAAGTTATTTTTGTTTCAAAGTAAACGTTATGTTGAAAACATGACTGCAAATTCTAATGTCAGTTAATTTTCGATACAAGCCCTGACCAAGCCCCATGTTGATCAGACCAAGGGATCTCATAGATCTGTATATAGTGGCTGACGCTGGTAGCCAATACTGGTCTTTTAAAGTAATTCAGTAGAATATATAGGTTAGCTGAGTATATTCAGACGTCCTAGTTGCTGTTTTAAGTCTTCTGCTTAGCCCCACAATAGGCCTTTTTCACACTTGCTGTTTCCGGGAGGTTGGAACAGACCGAAGCAGTGTTTTCGCACTTCCGGTTTAGATTAGCAATGGCGGAATCCTCTCGTAGGTGTTATTGCAGCGTTCCTCGCTGCTCTAACTCTAAACAGAGACACCCTTACCTGAGTTTTCACGATTTCCCGAAAGACAAAGAATTGCGGAGGTCGTGGGTGAGGTTAATAAGGAGGGATGAAGGTCCTTTGTTTAATATAGTCCGCGGGAGCACTTTCGTATGTAGCCTGCACTTCGAAAGTGTCGATATTTACGTTTCGAAAAGTGGCAGGAAACGACTGAAAACCGGTGCAGTACCTCGCCGTTTTTCCTGGAACAACTGGGGGAATGACCACATGTCTCGGGAATCTGCCTTTGACCGCGCTAGCGCTCGTTTTGGAGTCGACGTTCGTGGAGGGAGTGCTGCTGGTCAGGCTAACGAGGTTTCTACCGTGGATGCAGTGGTCGAGCTACAACACACAACAGACCACAACTACTACGCGTGTTCCCCTTCTGGTAGGTATATGCAAATTAACGTAGCTTTTGTGTTTAACGCAACGTTTTACATCATCGACTGCAGTCTTTTATTTTAGCTTACATTGAACCTATTTGAAGTGGAGCTACAAGTCTGATGTAGCTAACTAGCTAACACGGTTTGCACGATGCTACACTGGTAGCTAGCTAGCTAAGTTACTTTAGCGTCTATGACCCACTTCCTCGTTTACTACATTAGCTTCGTGGCTCCACTACAAAACTGAATAAGCAAACTTTGGACGCCAAACATATTTTGTATTGTAATTATTTAGAGAAAGGAAGGAAGTTGTTTATTTCTGATATTTTGCTCCTCACTACACACATGGGCACGTATACATTAAGCTACGCAGAGTAGGATTGTTGATCCAGGATCAGAGTAAAGTCATAGTAAGTAATAAAGAAATCTGAGCCAAGATCAGCACTCTTACTCTGAGAAGCTTCCTGATTAGGGGCCCTGATTCAGATAATCAAATGCAAGATAAAGAACTGATCATTTGGGTTGGATGTTTTGTAGGAGGGCAAAAACACTATTACCTAGCTTTGTTTGTGCACTACCTCTGCTCTGCATGTTTTGACGTTCTCCCTGCTCCAACACACGATTCAAACAATCAAAGTTATAGGCCCTTCTTGAAGTCATTGTGGTGCGTTAGTGTCAGATAAAAACTGAATGTCTCAATTTAAAGAACAGGACAACTTTAGTTTTTCCCTAACTCTTGTGTTTTTCAGGTGCATTGGAAGCTGCTGCTGTAAGAATCAGAAAATTGGAGGCCAAGGTCAGAGAATTAGAATCTTAGCTCAGGGACCTGACTGCCACAAATCTACAAATCAACAGATTTTGTGCAACTGATGAAGAGTTCAGATTCTACACCCGTTTTCCATCAGAGAAGGTCTTTTGGATCTTTTGGGAATCTGTTGCCCCCTCAGCATCAAGATTAGTGTACTGGAGTAAAGCACAGAGAGTTGACCATGTCATGGAAATTGAGAAACCCAAAGTCCAAATCCAAACCGGAGACTAACACTTGTGGATGAGTTGTTCTTGTACTGCTGCCGTGTTGCAGTTAGCCTGAAAGAAAAGATCCTAGCAGACAGCTTTGGTGTCAGCACTACAGGTGTAAGCAGAGTGGTCATCACATGGGCCAACCATTTGTGCCTTGTCTTGGGGTCAGTGCCAACCTGGATGTTAAGGGAGCAAGTCCAAGCAAGAATGCCAGAGAAGTTAACACGGCACTGTTCAAATGTGAGAGTGATTCTGGACTGTACTGAAATCAGATGTGAAACACCATCACTTACGCTTCAGTCTGAAACCTTTAAAAAAAAAAAACACCATGTTCAAAGCCCTGAAAGGTGTTGCACCTTGTGGTGTGATCACCTTTGTTTCAAAGCTCTTTACAGGATGGAAACGGAGCAAACACAAGCCATAGCTCATCTCAGAATCCTGGTGGAGAGAGCTATAAGGAGAGTCAAGGAATACCACATCTGGGATACAGCCATTCCTCTCACCCTTTCAGGTTCAGTCAGTCAGCTATGGACTAACTGTTGTTTAATGACCAACTACCAAGGTCCATTAGATGTGGAAGGTGATGTACCTGTTTGAATTATTCTTGTAACACTGGAAATAAAACTATTCGTTGTTTATAGTTTTAATCATTTAATTAAATGTTCTTTTCTACATAGTTTGTGTTTACACATTTATTTTGTAAAACATGGCATTCCTAAGACAGCATATTTGAGAGGAAAAACAGAACAATACACATGAGTACAATAGCATAGGTACATAAGTTAGCAGAACTACTGATATTAATACCTAAGAACACATAATCCAAACCCTGGGCCTGGAGTACATCTTGGCCTACACATTTTAGTGTCTATTCTACTGTAACGCCAATGTCAACTCAGGAAGTGCTTGTTAATGAGCAGATTCCAAATAGAACCTTTTTGGAAATGGTTCTATATGGCACCAAAAAGGGTTCTTCTATTGTAACAAGCTTGACATAGTAACAACAGCAGAACTCTTTTTGATGCTATATAGAATCATTTCTAAAAAGGTTCTATATAGAAAGTTATTATACATTACATTCTCTGTCAATCTGGCTCTTTAAGCGTTCTTAGTAAAGACAATGGTTCTTTATAGAGCACCAAAAAGTGTTCTGCTATTGTTACAAGCTTGATATCACAATAGCAGAAACCTTTTTGATGCCATATAGAAGCCTTTTCAAAAAGGTGCTATATAGCAACATATGCAACACATTCTCCATCAATCTGAAAAAAACATTTCATCATGCAGATGGTTCTTTGAATGTTCACGTTTCTTTATAGAATCACTGTCTAAGAACCCTTGAAGAAACATCTTTAAGAATGTAGAACTCATGGTGTACAAAATTAGATTCACTGGCTAATTACTTCATATTCAGGTAAGTATCCATATGTGTTCAAATAGAACAGATCAAGCTTCTTCTTCATTTCCATGACCAGGGAATCATCTCACCAGACTCTCTCAACAGTAAGGTCAGTTTTGGTGAATGTGATAAAATCACACCAAGGCAAACCAGTTATGGCCATCTGGCCTTGGACCTTCCAAAAGTACTTGTGGTTCCTTTTCAGTTTGGCCTGACCACTGATGAACTTGATGTGCGTAGCCTCTGTTACGCTCTCAACATTTGGGCACTTTTCTTCAGCAAGCCCAGAGGGAGGATCTGCAGCAGGATCGTATACCTTAGCATCTGGGCTGGCACCAAGGTAAGGTGTGTCAGGGTGTATAACAAATCCAGAAGGTGACACATTTACATTACACAGGTCACTGTATTGCTGTAAGACTTCTGGCTCAAGGTTAATACCCCTCTTCGTTGCAGATGTTTGCCGCGCTCCCTTAAAGGTCCTGACTGCTAAAGCTTGACTAGATGACTCCCCCTGTATTTTGCATACATCCCCAAATCTGCTGGAGGTCAACCATGGCTGATGTACTTGCTTCCACAATGCATCCTCTGACTGCCCTCTTGTGTTCTGCTCAATTACACTTGATAATTCCCTGGTGACCTCTAAACGCTCCAAATGATAAAAATGATGGTAGCTGGGAACAAAACAGAGATATTGTTCCAATTTGTGGTCATTTAGTGAAAGCTGTGGGGCTTCTGGATGTTTAGTAATTTCTCGTGTTACCACAAATGGACACTGATATGAGAGAACTGAGTCCTGAGGGACTGGTCCAAATTTCCACTAAAGTCATGTTGGACAGGCTGCACAAGATCTTACAGATTCCAGGTTGTGGTCTCATATCTCTTAAGCGGGCTCCAGCTGACAACACTGCAGGGTCAGGAAGGGGTCCTAAAAAAAGAAGAAGTGTCACTCCTGCCAACTGACTGCTTAGGATTTATAACATTTGACCATTAAGAACCTGTTTTATGTTTCCACCTCCAGAAGTAGACTACTACAATCTCTCAGAAAAATACTCAGCTGGGTATGTTCGATAGAGTGTAGACTTGACAAAACTTCATCCCAGTGCCCTTGGCAAACAAAACAGGGTTGCCAGTTTATTAGACACACACTGACAGTTATATTTCTAGTTGTACAATTGCTATCATTCTCTTTCTGTAGCCCATCCACAGCAGTGACACTGACAGTGTGTGTAAGTCTGGTTTTGGTGCATCAGACACAATACTGATACTTTTTTTTTTAAAACCTCAGTGTCCATCTAAAAGGTTGGACAGTAAACTATGTCTGAATCACTCATACCAGATTCACACACAGTAATATGTGAGTATTTGTCAGAGCAACAGCTAGACTACAGGAAGTAGCTGTATATCAACAACGTGACCCTACAAACTTTAAACTATCATGCAAAACTTCGTAGAGATCTTACTTGGGTCCTCGGTCTGTGCCAGGTTTGAAGAACACTGGTGCATGACAGTGGTGGTGCCACTGTCTTCACTCCCATTGTACTGTAGTGCAGTTTGAAAAAGCAGTGCAACCACATGGTTACACAAAGCCTTTCCAGCAGCACATGAACAGCAGAAGCCATTTAACCCCACAGGCTTCCTAATTGCTTGCAGTACCACCTTAAAATAAAAAAAAGAACATTAGAATAATAGAAAATGTGTATGTTACACAATAAGAGTATTCACTTGAAGGAATGGTTCAGCAAAAGTCCACTTACCGTAAACTCATTAACAGGTCTTTGTTAATGAGTTGGATATGGTTTGATCATGTTTTAGAGATGTATTACAGAAAGGATTTACATGCGACTGACAGCCACATTAGTCTCTCAACTCCAGTTTAAAGCTAAAGAAACAAAATCTGGACACCAAAAATGTCTTGGTTGATATAAATCTGGTTTGGGAAAACTGTCCATTTAATTTATTTTTATTTATTTTGCTGAACCATTCTGTTAGCATTAGAATATGTAGAACCAAGAAAAAGAACTGAATAAAATGGAAACAACTTAAAGGGACAAAAAAGAAATAAAGCTGCAACGGCAGTGGAACAAGTTATACTAAAACTCAGAAGTCAGAAACCGCACCCTATTCACTCAACAGTGACCCCACACTGTGAACATTTATGCTTCCCCCCCTCATTTCGCACACCTGATTCAGCTCATTAACAGGCTCAAATGTGTTATCCATATATTTGCAGAGGTCACCAGAAACCTTTGGAACCATTGCCACAGAGGACACAGATTAATGCATGTTGATATTTGTAAGAAATAGGGAGTAGGGTATCGTTTCGGACTTATGTGCAAGACATCCTGAACATTTTATGAAACTTGTAGTGTATGGGGCTCCTCATTCTTTCTCATTGACCGGTAACACCTTGCCTGTACTACCACTTCCTCATCCAGTAAATATGACACTGCATTTAAAGGGGAGAAAAGTTAGCTCAACTTGCTGACGTCTGATAATTTAGCCTGTGGAAACCCTGTGGAAACGGACATATAACAAAACAAAAAAAACACGGTCTGACGTCTGCACACACAAAGTTGAACTGGCTTTACAGACATAGCTTTCTCGCTTATCAACCAAATGCTGAAGACGGATATGCTCTTTTCCAGGGTAAACCTAAACAATAGTTTCTAGCTGCACTGAATTAAAATTGGTTACAATAATAAATAGTCCACAGTAAACAGCTAACTTCTGTTACTGGCTATAACTAGCGTAGTGAGTCGGTTCATTACTAGCTAACTAGCTAGTTAGCAGACTAGGCTAACGTTAGCGTTTGCAATTCACTTCCCTCTGTAGTTAAAAATAAATTGTTCTAAGAACAACTTGGAACCCTTCACGTGTGAATGCTCCTTCACTAAAGGGACCACGTCGTCTTGGCCAAATTTCGGCAGAGTCAAAAGTGAGCTAGAGAATGTTACTGTTGAATCCGCCGCTAGCGAAATCCAGTTGTTGTACACTATTTGACGAACACATCCGGTAACCGATTCAGCTGTGATAAAGGTCTATATAAACTACCTTTCACTTTATTCAAGGTTTAGTTTCACAATACAAGTTTAGTTGAAAAGCTTTGAACTCCTGGCAAGGTAGCATGGTCTCCCATTAAGTCTCTGACCAGGACTGATAGTTTGCATAGATAATGTTGAGTCTCTCATACAGGCTAGTCAGTTATCTTACCAAGTAGCTGTGCTAACTGAATATCTGGATAGTTAGGTTAAGTTTAGCAAACAGTAAAACTAAGAAAAGGGTGATTTTTCTAAGGATATGTTTGACAACAAATACCTAACAGATCGACTTATGAGCCAACTAAAGCATTTAGTTAGCATGCTAGCAAACGCTGTAGTAATTTGCACAGCATTATGAGCTGCACGCCCTGGGTAGCCAATAGCTGATGATCCTGGAAAGTCAATTAATGACTGTTAATCTGAGATAGACAATTGATCCTTTTTTTGACAGTATTGATCCTGGAAATTCATTAATGCTATTATTAATGGTATGAAACCTGGATTGTCAATTAGTCTAGTTGATGACTAGATTAATTGGAAGGTCAGTACAGTCATAAACTGTCATGATCCAGTTAATGACCATCAATTCCGAATAGCCAGTCAGTCGTATTATTCACTGTATTGATCCTGGACAGCCATTTAATCTAGTTCATAACTGTATTGATACTGGATAGCAATTTATTCATGTTACTGATGGTATTGTTACGACCCCCACAAGAAAGCCTAGGGGATAATGGGGTCAGTAACATATGGCTTAAATGTGACGGTTGCAGCACGGACCAGGAAGGAGCAAGACACAAATAGGATAGCTGCTTTTCTTGTTTATTACATGCCAGAGGTAGAGGACAAAGCACACTCAGGCTATGACCCGAGTGAGACCTCCGGTAATATTTACAGAAAAAAAAATGGCAAATATGCTTGCTGTCAAAAAGAGCGGGATTCTGGACCCGGACGGCGCTAAAGTAAAGAAATTAACAAAACAAACAAAACAACAAAAAAAAAAAAACCCTAGCTCTTTAATTGAAATCCTCACCTAGTAGACAAAAAAAAAACCCATCTACTCTAGGCTTCCCTACGGCATAACACAAATACATGAGTTGGCGCCCGCCCCTTTCCTAAGGTATCTATACAATGGGCGGCTACGTGATGTAAAATGTATGAGCGCGCCCATCTAACCTGTCCAGAATCCCAAGAAGGCAAAGCAGCGTATGAGAGAGAGAAACGGAGAGAGAGAG